TTTTTCCTATAATCTTGAGGGCTATCAGAGACTTCTGATTTAGCCCATGGAGGAGGGGAACACTAATCTAATAGAGAGTATATGGCTGATGACAAACCCCAAAAACATCAAGATAGAAAGTAAGGCTGCTCCCAAGCAGCCTGCATGTTAGAGAGGAGGCTGTTCACTCAAGGATAGGAATAGTCTTGTGGTTAGATACTGACTGATCACCTGTGCTGTGCTTTGTTCTGCTTTTGTATGTAAACAAGTTCTAAAACAAACTCTGGGCTATTGGTCAGAATGACCAGACAGACCTCCCGGTTCTATTCTGTCTTCTGTTTCTTTCATCTGACTTTCCTTTGGCCTTGAGGATCCCTCATCCAGAATAACTAGCTAACTTTGTAAAAGCAGGCTCCTACAGGTGGCGCCCAATGTGGGGCCTTCTGGGAAGGGATATCTTTGTAGGGATACCCAGACTCCAAGAGTCTTAAAAACACGGTAAGTATATCCTGGGAATATCAACAGCCATGTGGTGTAAATACAAAAAAAAAAGGTTAACTGTGCAATGTAAAAAGTAAATAAAAAAATTACTCAAATATAATTGTAAAATAAAAAGTAACTTAAATATAAATGCAAAAAGTAAATATGGGCCAAAAAACCAACAAACCGCTGTTTGTACATTTACTTAAAGATACTTTAAAAGCTGGAGATGTTAAGGCAGGGCATCAACAACTGTGTAAATGTTTAAGATTTATACATCTACTTATAAATATTTTTAAGGTTGGGGTACTAAAAAAGGACAATTGCTTCGGTTTTTAAAATATGTAAAAGATGTGTGCCACTGGTTCCCTGCAGAAGCGAGTATAAGTCTCAAACTTTAAATAAATAAATACTCTTTGCCTTGGTCTGTGTTTTGACTGTTACTATGTTGTTTTATGTGATCGTATCTCTAAAACGTGTAATACCAGTACCTGTTGGTCTGTCATTATTGTCGGTCTTTGTCTATTGACTTTGTTATCCTGAAGGAGATGAGGCAGGCAACCTCTGCCTCTAGCCTCCAGTACATTTTTCTGGATCAGTTTCAGGACTTTGGGTTCCAAAAACAAAAAACAAACTTCTAAGAGAGGCATGGTAAGGGCCACCTCCCTTCTTTGTTCTCTGGCCCACGCCGTGGACAGCCAACAGCTCCTGTAGAAGGCGGGGGGTGTACATGACCATGGGTAGAGATGATACTACAGAGAGACATGCTCATGTAAACAGCACAGCAAAAAATTGACTGCTTACAGCTGACAACAAATCCCAAAAACACCAAGATAGACAGTAAGGCTGCTTCCAAGCAGCAAATACATATTATAGAGGAGGCTGCCCACTCAAGGACAGGAACGGTCTTGTGGTTAGATACTGAGTGACTGTCTGTGCTGTACTTTGTTCTGCTTTTGTACATAAACAAGTTCTGAAATAAACTCTGGGCTATTTGGCTGCTTCAGCATAACCAAATGGGCCTCCCAATTCTATCCTGTCTTCTTCTGTTTCTTTCATCTGACTTTCCTTTGACCTGAGGATCCCCTATCCAAAAACCCTAGCTGACTTTATAGGAGTGGGCTCCTACATCTGCTGCACTGAAGAAAGCAGAGAAGGGCTAAGGGCTTCTGTACCAGTGAAGAGGGTGCCTCCACTGCTGCCCACACACCTGCACAGACACCCATTACCGGCACATGCCACATGCTCAAGACTCCTAGTCCCATCTTACTCATTTCAAAATTATTTACCTTTATATTACTAAATTATGGTAATTTTCTATATTTTAGATCATTTCTTTGTCAGACATCTACAATTCAAATATATTTTTAGTCTGTGTTTTTATTCTAACAATTTTTTTTTTTTTAAAATCTTCGAGACAGAATTTCCTCCATGTAGCCTTGGCTGTCCTGGAACTCACTTTGTAGACCAGGCTGACCTTGAACTTTAACATTTTGTGTGTGTGTGTGTGTGTGTGTGTGTGTGTGTGTGTGTGTGTACATGCACATAAAGACCTAAGCTCCAAGTCCAAGAACCTACATAAAATTGCCGGATATAATGCATGCCCCTATAACCCTAGTTTTGGGAAGGCAGAAGCAGAAGGATTCCTGAAATTGCTGTTTAACCATTCTAACCTCATTAATAATCCCCCCCCCCAGACAGGATTTCTCTGTGTAACAGCCCTAGCTGTCCTGGAACTAGCTCCTGTAGACCAGGCTGGCCTCAAACTCACAGAGATCCGCCTACCTCTGCCTCCCAAGTGCTGGGATTAAAGGCATGCCGCCACCACTGCCCAGCTTCATTAATGATTTCCAAGCAAAGAAGAGACCTTGTTTAAAAGGAGGCGTGCTAATTCAAAGGAATTATTGAAGGATAACATCCAAAGTTGTCCTCTGGTCTACACACATTACGTACATCCCTAATGCTTAAACTCTTGAGGTATACAGTCTGTTGAGTAAATTAATAAAGGACAAATGAAGCAGTGAATTGTTTCCAGGGTCCTGCTGTGAGGTGTGACTCAAACAGCAGTTCACGCAGGGCAAGAGTTCAAAACCCGGCTTGTAATTCCTCCCCCAGAGGAGAGGTAGACAATTAATGAGTCCTCTGTCCTTGTAGAACTGGACCTAAAGGGCTAAGAGGATCCCCAGAAGTCCACCTAGCCATTGTGCCCCTTTCTTTCTTCATACAGGCCTCAGGAATTCAGGCTTTCTGTCTTTTCTCCTAAACTCTATCACTTCCTGGAAGCCCCAAGAGTCCACTAACACTTATTTCAATAAAGGGTTGGATATGCCTTTTCTTTCTCCACATCCAGGAAGCTACTTCCTGCTATGAATTTTCTAACCATTACAGAGACAGACCTGAACATGGGCATACAATCATGAGGAAGTTGTAAATGTTACACAATCTTAAAAAATGCTTCGTCTCCTTAACCCCAATTTTTTTTTTAATAATTCATTAAGAGTAGAAATATGGTTAGTGGTTAAGTGCACTGGTTGCTCTGTCAGAGGGCTGGGGTTCAAATCCCAGCACCACATGGTGGTTAACAATCATCTGTAACTCCAGTTCCAGGGAATCCAATGCCTTCTTTCAGCTGTTGGGGACCCTGCACACACATGGTGCATGCTGGTAAAACATTCATGCTCCTAAAAGTAAATACTTCATTGTCTAATTTGTATTGTCCATAAACTGTTGATGGCATCCAATGGAGTATGGTTAACCTACCCGGGGCCACACCCTTTAGGAAAACTGACTCTCCTTCCCTATTCTTCCTTTCTTGAAACAGGATCTTATATGTAGCTCTAGCTGTCCTAGGACTTGCTATACAGACAGGCTGGCCTCAAACTCAGAGATCCACCTGCCTCTGTCTCTGCCTCCCCAGTGTTGGGATTAAAGGACTGTGTCATCACACCCAGCCCATACTGAGTCTCTTTAAAATAAAGGGAGGGGGATGGTGAGGACGTAGGTCAATGACAGAGCTCTTGCCTAGCATGTATGAGTATATGTGATCCAGGTATTGAAGGGGGAAAAATACAACATATCCCCCCTCAAAAATCTCATTTTATTGAGATATTAGTTCAAACAATTTCTCAGCTAAAAAGGATTATAACAGAACCTGAGAGAGAATAGAAAGAAATGAATTTTTTTTTTTTTTGGTCCTGTTTGAGACAGTCTGTCTACATAGCCCTGGCTGTCCTGGAACTCACTGTATAGATCAGGCTAGCCTCAAACTGGCAAAGAACTGTATGTCTCTGCTGCCCAAGTGCTGGCAATTAAAGGCATGTGCCACTGCACTATTTTAGGAAATGAGTATTTCTTTGGAGGGAAATATGTGAATTCTAAAGTTTTAGAATAGCTCGCATTTCCTGTTTGGTTTGGTTTGGTTTCTGAGACAAGGTTTTGCTTTGTAGTTCAAGCTGGCTTTGAACTTGAGGAAACTCTCGTCTCAGAGTTCCAAGCCCTGGAATTACAGGAGTGTACCATCTCACCTGAATCATCTTTTACTTCTGTTAACTCTTCCCTACATTTTCAGTGTGTTTGTGTGTATGCACATGTCACATATGCAGCCAGACGACAACTTGTACCAATCACTTCCCTATTCCACTTCGTGGGCCCCAGAGGTTGCACTCAGATCACGGACTTAGTGGCCCTTGCCTTAAGAGTCTGAGCTTTTTCACCAGCCTTCATCTTATTTGGATGTTAGTAATCTGATCTTCTTTTTTATTGGTCAATCTACTAAAGATTACAAATTGTGTTGATCTTGTATCTGGACTTCATGATTTCTACTAGTTCCCAGTATTTCTTTTTGCTTATGCTATCTTTACTCACTCAAAAATAATAATAATAATAAACTACACTGTGATTCTCAATTTTCTGAGAAACTGCCATACTGATTTCCAAAGTAGCTAAACAAGTTTGCACTCCCACCAACAATCGCAGTGTTCCCCTTACTCTGCATTCTCTCCAGCATAAGTTGTCATTGGTGTTTTCATTTGATCTTAGCCATTCTGACTGGTGTAAGATGGTACCTCACAATCGTTTTGATTTGCATTTCCCTGATGGCTAAGGATGCTAAGCAGGTTTTTAAGTATCTTTTGTCCATCTTTGAGATTCTTCTGTTGAGAATTCTGTTTAGATCTGTTCCCCATTTTTTAATTGGATTATTTGGTATTTTAATGTCTAGTTTCTAGAACTCTTTATATATTTTGAAGATCAGTCCTCTGTCTGATATGGCGTTGGTGAATATCTTTTCTCATTCAGTAGGCTGCCATTTTGTCTTATTGACTGTGTCCTTTGCCTTACAGAAACTTCTGGTTCAGGAGGTGCCATTCATTTATTGTTGTTCTCAGTGTCTGTGCTACTGGTGTTATATTTAGAAAGTGGTCTCCTGTGCCCATGTGTTCAAGGCTGTGAATGTTACTATATTCTAAAAAAAAAAATGTAATTCAAGGAAAATAAAAATAAGCCTAAATGGACCTCAAATGAAAGAAAAAACAAAGAGCCAAGAAAGTGGTAAATTTTTTATTGCATCTTAACAAATGGTAACTGATTAAAAACAAATAGTAAAGTTTTGTGAAACAGAAAAAATTGAAATATATAACAACTTATTTGAGGTAAGAATTAGATGAATTAAGATTATTTTGGTCCTTTTATGTCCTGTAGGGAGAGTATGGAACATACTAACTTTAGATTTTTGTACTTTATGATGATCACAAACTCCTGACACCATCTCAGAGTCCTTGAATCCTTTCTTTTCAGAGTTGTCTATCTTCTACTCCAGGTTTCAGAAAGCTAAAAAAAAAACCAAAAAACTAGAAGCCACACCATGAGAGAGAGCCCATGCCGAGCACTGGCAGGATAGCCAAAATCTAGAGGCTGGACAGCCCAGAGACCTAGACAGAACCAAACACAATCGGCCAAAAACAAAAACAAACAAACAAAAAAACCAAACAAGTCAACGAAATGATTTCTAATGATATTCTGCTATCTTACATTAGTGCCTAACCTAGGAGTCATCAGAGAGGTTACATCCAGCAACTGATGGGAGGAGATGCAGACCTACAGCCAAACATTAGGTGGAGCTCAGGGAACCCCATGGAAGAGGAGAAGGAAGTATGAGCCAGAAGGATCTAGGACATATTAGAACATGGTCCACAGAATCAACTAAGCAGAACCCAAAGGCGTTCACAGAGACTAAAGCAACAGTTACGGAGCCTGATGGGTCTGCCTAGGTCCTCTGCATAAACGTTACGTCTGTGTAGCTCAGCGCTCTTGTGGGACTCCTCAAAGTGGGAGTGGGGCTGTCTCTGACTCTTTCACCAGCTCTGGGGACCTTTTCCCTCCTATATTGGTTGCCTCATTCAGCCTTGATATGAGGATTTGTGCCTAGTCTTATTGTAATTTGTTAGGCTGTATTCAGTAGATATCCCTGGGAGGCCTGCTTTTTTTCTGAAGGGAAACCAAGAAGGAGTGGATCTAGGGGAGAGGAGAGGAACTGGGAAGAGTAGAGGGAGAGGAAACTGCTGTCGAGATGTAATGTATGAGAGAAGAATTAAAATTAAAAAAAAAAAGACCTAAATAAAACAGAACAAAAACTAGCTGCCACAGTCTCTAGAACAGTCTGGTGACTCTTCTTCCTTTTCTTTCTTTCTTTCTTTCTTTCTTTCTTTCTTTCTTTCTTTTCTTGAGTTGAGTTTTTGGTTGCTGTTGTTGTTTGTTTTGTTTTCTTTTTCAAGACAGGTTTATCTATGTAATAGCCCTGGCTGTCCTGGAGCTCACTTTGTAGACCAGGCTAGCCTTGAACTCAGAGAGATCCACCTGCCTCTACCTCCCAAGTACTGGGTTGACCGTGGCTGGCTCTGGTGACTTCAAGAGGAGACATTCAAGGCCTTTCTAAGTATGGAGTAGGGGATAGAGAATACTCTGACAGTGCTAGAGATATGTCTTACAAGTAGCTAACAGCTCTGTTGACAAGGAAAAAAGATAGTTACCACGTTACCTGTAACAGAAATTGGTTCCACACAAAACAATCAGTAGAGCAAAATATTCTTCGTGAGGACCGGGGTTCAATTCAAAGAGCCACTATGACCAAGGCAACACTTATAAAGAAAACATCTAACTGGGGCTGGCTTACAGTTCAGAGGTTTAGTCCATTATCACCATGTGGGGGCGGGGAGGTGGCAGTACACAGGCAGACACTGTGCTGGAGCTCAGAGTCCTTACATCTTGATCCAAAGGCAACAGGAAGTGAACTATCTCACTGGTTATGACTCAAGCATATATGAGGCCTCAAAGCCTACCTCCACAGTGACACACTTCCTCTAAGAAGGCCACACCTACTCAAACAAGGCCATACCTCCTAACAGTGTCACTCCCTTTGGGGGCCATTTTCTTTCAAATCACCACAAATTCCCAGCACCCATATGGCAGTTCACACCTGTCTGTAACTCCAGTTCCAGGGCTTCTTATACCCTCACACAGACATACATGCAGGCAAAAGCCAATATACATAAAACAAAATAAATTTTTAAAAAAGAATCTGAGTCTAGCCTCAATGAATATGAATCCTGAGAGAAACATCAATTACCTTGGTACATTTGGTATGACTCTGAACACGTGTGTATGTGTGTGTGCTTTTTTTTTTTTTTACTTAAAGAACATACTCTGGAGCTGGAGAGATGGCTCAGTGATTAAAGCACTTGCTGCTCTTGCACAGGACCTGGGTTCGGTTCCCAATACCAACACTGGGCAGTTTACAGATGCCTTTTAACTCCAGTTCCAGGAGATCTGACCCCTCTTCTAACCCCTATGGGCATCTACACACGTTATGATGAACATAAACTCATGTAGACACTCACACAAACATTTAAATAAAAATCTAAAAACAAAAAAAAAATGAGACTATGACATTAATTTAATCACTGTAAGTAATTTATATATAATACTGAGTTAAACTGAAAATATGACTCAAAATAAAACAAAATTGAATTTATATGCATATTTCTGATAGAATATAAATAAAAATATTCTTTCATAGCAAAAAGTTTCTTAAGTCAGATTCTTCTTTCAAAGTGTTTTCATGTTTTAATTAGAGAATCGATTTATTCAAAGAAACATTTTATTTAATGATTTTACAGGCTTTCTTAACCCACTCAGTGTGTGTCCTACATGTTGGAATCAAATACCTGCAGGAGTTGGGATCTTATGAATACAGCCAGGACAACAGTGGAGAGAGTCATGAACAAAAACATCACAATCCACACAGAAAACGTTTTGGCACACTGTGCAAATATAGACCTGCAATGAAAAGGAGAAAAGTGAATGAACCAAGCTAGTTTCCAAAAGTTAAGTGCAGCATAGCCAGAAGACATTTAAAGCCTTGCTCTCTAGTCTTATCAATTTTTCCCTACCCACCTATATAGTGTATTGCTTCCAATGCATTAAATATAACACAGTTTTCTCAAATCTAATACATATTTTCCTCTTAAGTTGACCCTTAAGAGTAAGGAGCTACTCTGTTTTGAGACCTTAAGGTCTATTCTATAGGACAGTCACGATTACTTGCTTTTAAATAACAACTTGGGGAAGATATATGAATCTAAAACCAGTACTAGATTTGAAGGCATTTGATAATTAAAATAAAAAGAAAAGAACAAAAACTTACTACAGATCAGTTATTCCTAGGGAATGAACTCTCAATTACAAAAGCTATATTCCCCTATTCAATCTTTGAGGAATATGGCAAATATCTGGGAGGGAGGGTAGATACACACCTATAATTAAAGCACTTGGGAAGTGGAGGCAGGAAGATCACAAACTCAAAGTCATCCTAGCCTATGAATCAAGGTCCAAGCCATCCTGGGCTACAAGACCCTATCTCAAAAAAGCAAAGCACAAAAACAAAGAATATGTCAAATGAAACACATAAGACACATAAAAATGCATTATTTATCAACATTACATATGGGGATCCTTGCACTTTGGTCTAAGATTTCTAGGGCAACAACACACATATTCCAAATCACTACACTAAGATGTGTTTTTTAAAACTGACAATGGAGCACCTTCTGGTAGCATGACGGCTAGTCCTCAGAAAACTGACCTGAAGGCCTCAGGAAACTCCCTGAGGCCCAGTTTTCATGGTACGTTAGGATCCATACTTGCTTTCCAAGGAGGAAAGCAACCAACAGTCCTACCCAGCTATGCAGGAGTAACCAGCAAGGCACGACAGCCCTAAGGGTGTAATAGTAGCATGCATACTTTAGTAGTAATCAACGGCTCTCTAATTGGATTTAAGGTCCACTCAACAAGAGAGAAATTATGCCTGGTACTAGAAACCTAGTATGCCAGAGTTAGTTAAATCTTGGAGGAGAATATACAACCACCAGTTTACTAAACTAGCAAAAATACTAACTAATTCTAAATATTTGTCCTTATACCCAAAGATTATTGGAAATATCATCAAGGAAACATGATGTGGGATGCCCCTCTGTATGCTGTAAATATGTTTTATTACCACTGGTTAAAAAAGAAGCTGCTCTGGCCTATGGCAGGGCAGAATGCAGCTAGATGAGAAATCCAAGCAGAGAGACAGGGAAAAAGGAGGAGTCGTGGAGAGGCCAGCAGTCACGGGAGGAGTAAGATGTCAGAACATTACTGGTAAGCCATGGGGCACGTGGCAATGCACAGATTATTAGAAATGGGTTAATTTATATGCAAAGCTAGCCAGTAAGAACCCTGAACCATTGACCAAATAGTTTTAATTAATATTAAGCATCCTCATGATTATTTTATAAGTGGCTGTGGAGAGCAGAGGCAGGAGAGAAACCAGTTCAATAGGATCGGGCAGGACAGAGAAGTCTCCAGCTAGAGAAACTTCTCTTTGCAACAGATAGAGACCATTACAGAAAACTACAACCAATCAAAAATGCAGAGTTATAGAACCCAATCCCAATTGATACAATACAACTCCTGCACCTAAGGTTCAGGAATCATTGCAAAAGAGAGCATAGAAAGATTCTAAGAGCCAGAGAAACAGAGAGTATGTTGTGAGATTCTATCTCCTAGAAATGTTAGAGAAGCTACACCCATGAAGTCTCACTAATGTGACTGCCTAAACATTAGCTGAACAAGGACACCAGAAGACATGCTAACATGAATGTAGGAAAGACCATGGGGCATCAACCCAACAACACAAAGAACTAGAAGCAACCACGGAACACTGAGAGTGGGAGAAATAGTCTTCCCAATGGGCTATCCAGGACTAGTGGTCAGCTCAGAAAACATACATACATAGCATTATACAAACAGAGAAGGTTGTACTTGTTTATTTAAAGATGGATGGATGGATGGATGGATGGAGCTCAAAGCATAAAGTACCATGCAAACCTGAATTTGATCCCCATAACCCATATAAAAAATGTAGGAGAAAAATGGCTCCCAGAAGTTGTCCTCTGACCTCCACACATGCACTTGGCACATGTGCTTACGTTCTCACATATACATTAAACTCTCACACATAATAATAATAATAAATTTTAATACCACCTAATGATTTTTTAAAAGTGGTTCTGGTGAGAACAAAGCTACTAATGACAAAGAAAATGCAAACCCTTTTTGTTCAGTGCAGGGATTCAAAGCCAGGGCTTCATGCATGATAGGTAGGTGCTGTACCACTGACCTACTCCACTGGTACTAAGGGATATAAAATTTAATTAAAAGAAAAAAAATTCTCTTTCTACTTGTTTTCTTTATTATTACTTATTTATTTTTGAAAAATGGGACTACATTACCCACATTGATCCTAAACTTCAGACCCTCCTGCCTCAGCCTCCTGAACGAACAGCTATGACATTATACACTTGCTATTGTACCTATTTGTGAAAGTAAGCAGGGCATGGGAACACCAGCCTGTGATCTCAGCTCTACCATGCCCAGGTTTAAACTCTGCTATGTCTTAAGATGAGAGTTCACTATGGATGCTGCCCAGGGTGACCTTGAATTCCTAGCTCAAGTATTTCTTGGCCTTACCATCCCAACAGCTGAAATTATAGGCGCATGCCACTGCACCTGGCTCTGTCATCAAAAAAAGTTTAAAGAATTTTCTTATTAGCACAATGTTTTGTTTATGAACCATAGTTCTAATTTCAAAATAAATTATAACAGATCCTAAAGTATAATACTACAATATTTCTAAACTAAATGTGCTTTAGCTTGAAAAACTGAAGCACCAGTATTAAAATCCCCTGTAGTAAGTCAGAATGAGAATGACAAAACTATTTAAACTACTTTGTTCCCATTTTAACTCTTTCTACTTATTGTCTTATAGGGAACAACCTGATATAAGCCTGACCTTCACCAATCTATTTACAACTTATTACAGTGTCACTGTCTCAATATTTCTAATTTATTACTGAATGCTGATAAAGCCAGTGAACTTACATGTTGGTCTTTCAATTCCCCCTGACATCCATAACAAAACCTGAAAAAAAAAAAAAGTTTGACAATCATTACTTGCTCTCACTCATTAAAATAATTTAGTGGACTGGATAGGTAGCTCAGTGGTTAAGGGCACTGACTGCTCTTCTAGAGGTCCTGAGTTCAAGTCCCAGCAACCACACGGTGGCTCACAACCATCTATAATGGAATCTGATACCCTCTTCTGGCCTGTAAGCATACAGGCAGACAAAATACCCGTATGTTAAAAAATAATAAATAAAATCTAAAAAATAATAACTAACTAAATAAAATGATTTAGCAAAATCTTAGAACCTAGAATCCTTTAATAAGAAATTATATTGTATTTACACATGACTTTTAGGGAGCATTTTAAGAAATCAACAGTTCTTTTAACCATATAGTATGGGTTACGGAACTCTTTTTTTTTTTCTCAAAGTTTATTAAAATACAAAAGTCTCCATTTCCGCCCCTCCTCCCAACACTCTCCCACTCCCCCCATTCCCTCTCCTCCTCCCTCTCCATCCCCAATAGCAATCAGGGTCTCCAGCCCTGTGGGTAGTTCAAGCTCCTCCCCCCTCCCTCCAGGTCCAGGAAGGTGAGTATCCAAACAGACTGGATCCCAAAAATCCAGTATATGCAGAGGAAACAAGTCCCAGTGTCATTGTCAATGGCTTTTCAGAAAGACTCCGGGCCAGCCACATTCAGAGAATCCGGCCTCATTCAGAGAATCTGGCTGGATTACGTGCTCGCTCAGTCCCAGACAACTGGCCTTGGTGAGGGAACTCTTGTTATAGTCTAGCCTGTGTCCCTTGCAGTATACCCAATAAACCCTGTTTATAATTCCTCAGAACAATAAGAAAAATTATACAATATGCCCCAGGTCATCCCATAACCCAAAGCTTAGTTATTATTTTCATTATGATTAAATAAACACATGCTTTCTGAACTAGAATTTTATGAGAATTTGATCCCTACAGAAAATATTTGAATTATTATTTTTCAGTTCTCTAAAATACAGTGAACAGCAGAGAATCCTAGAGGGCACCAAGGAATCTGTTACATACAGTGGAGGCCTGTGGCTTTATTTCCAGGACTGGTTGTAAGAGTTCAGGAGAGGAGGGAAGGGGAGTGGAGAAATATGTATAGCTCAATAAAAACAATTTTAAAAAGCAATTATGCCGGGCAGTGGTGGCATACGCCTTTAATCCCAGCAGAGGCAGGCAAATCTCTGTGAGTTCGAGGCCAGCCTGGTCTACAAGAGCTAGTTCCAGGACAGGCTTCAAAGATACAGAGAAACCCTGTCTCGAAAAACCACAAAAAAAAAAGCAATTATTTACAAAATATGACCCCACACATTTGCAAAAAGAAAAAGATCCAGAGACAGTCTTGAATGACTGAGGCTTATGTTTAGCTGACTTTAATTAATTTTAATTTAATGTTGTATCTGTTGTTTAAAATTTAAAAACACACAGCATTTAAACATTAAAAAAAAAAAAAGAGGTAAGAGTTCTTGGAACTGGGGCATATACCTCATATACCTCAGTGGTAGAATACAACCTCAGCAGGTACAAGGCCCTAAAAATCAATGCATAGCATCAACCCTGCCCACAGGTTCTCAGAATTTATTACAAAACAGCCACATTAGCTGGCAATGGTGGTGCATGCCTTTAATCCCAGCACTCAGGAGGCAGAAGCAGGTGGATCTCTGTGACTTTGGGGCCAGCCTGGTCTACAGAGTCAGTTCTAGGACAGACTCTAAAGCTACAGAGAAACCCTGTCTCAAAAAAACAAAAAAAAAGAGAAAAGATTAATTTTAATTATGTATATGCATATGTATGGGTATATGCAGGTGAGTACAGATGCCCATGTAGGAGAGAATGTGTAGAATCTCCTAGAGCTGGAAGTACAGGCAGCTCCAAGGTGCTGGGAACCCCATCAGGGTCCTCTCCATGAGCAGTACATGCTCCTAAACACTGAGCCATTTTTCTAGGCCCCACCCCAATCACCACTCCCCACCAAAACAGTACACCATCACTCTCAACTACAATATGGGAGGTTAGGGAAATAAGCAGACTTCTAGAAATACAGAGTATTCTACATGCCATTTTCTATATTAGATGTAATGTTGCACAAATTAATATAACTTTAGGTGGCAACTGTTTCAAATATTAGTTTACAACTGTAACATAAAAATTATTCAAAACTCATATACCCTTCTCCATTATATTCTTCTAGGGAAATTTCTTGAAAAGCATCCAGAGGAAATAAATGATGGTAAGATCGTGCCAAATGAGGAGCAGACACCAAAGTAAGACCTGATGCATAAAGACAGAAACAGAAATAATAAGTACAACCTCATTAAGACAGTAGCTGAAAAGTCAACAACACACTTAGAAAAAGTATTTTCAAGTGTTTTTATTTCTATTTTTCTTGTGGGAAATCAAATCTAGGGCCTCACACATACTAAAAACCTGACACTATGCTACACACCCAGCACTCAGTATTTTTAGAACCTTGAGTGTTGTAGCCATAAAAAGGATTCCAGGATAGAATCTGTTCTGTCACTAAATGCAACCCTCCTCTTAGAAAACAATTTGCTTACTTAAAAACGAAAGGTCTTAGAATTATATTAATTCCTTATTCTATTTATATATAATGATTATATTAAGAGCCCAAAACTGTTTGTTAAGGTGCTTTTAAAAAATATACTTATCAGAAAGAGAATAAGGAAACATCTATAATGATATGTTTATTCTTAGAAGTGGATTACTTCTACTTTCTATGTACAAATTAAATTCATAATAAGCAGGACTCTAGGTTTATTTCAGCAGCTATATAAATAGGAAGTTATTCAATACTAATCTATGAGAGAAAACTAATGGAGTTCTTACCACATATTTTACATTCGACAGGAAGCTCACAGTACTTTGCTCGACACTGTGGGCAGAAATAGCCTCCCAATGTAAGTCCTGGCTCAGTGCTATTATCCAAATGCCTGTGGGAGAAAACAGTTATTTTTAAAAGGTGAAAAAAGCTAAAGAAAGTATGTAACTCAATCCCAGCACTCAGAAGACAAAGGCAGGCAGAGATCTGTGAGTTCAAGGCCAGCCTGGTCTAATAGTGAGTTCTAGGCCAGCCAGGGCTATATAATGAGATCAGGTCTTAAAAAAATATGTATTACATAGATAAATGAGTAAAATTTTACTTGAAAACATGTATGTTTCACTGCTCACTAATGCTCGACTTTTTTCTGTCTTATTTTGAAGTTTCTCTTGCTGCCTCTGAATTCATTTTTTTTCCTTTCTACTGCACTAACTACTCTGTTCATCCCAACCACTGTGCTTTCCTTAAGATTTATTTTATTTTTAATTTCGTGTGTGTGTGTGTGTGTGCGCGCATATGTCTGTGAGTGGGTATGTGCACATGAGTACAGGTGCCTTCAGAGACCAGAGGTGTTAGATTCCCCAAGACCTGGAGCTACCGGCAGCTGTGGGCTGCCCAATGTAGGTACTAGGACCAAACTTTGGTCCTGTGGAGGAAAGTTATGTGATCTTAACCACTGAGCCATCTCTTCAGGACTTCCATAGCACTTTTCATCACAGACATTATATTCCCCATTTCTACAAGTTTGATTTCATTTCTAGAAGTCTTTTAATACGTTGTCAAGTTCTCTTTCGCTTAGAATTATAAAGTGTATTTACATTGGCTATTTTAGTAGTCATCTCCTAATTCTAGTAAGTGTTTTCCATTCTTTATTTTTTCTTTATCTGTATCTTTTCTCATTATCTCATATTCTCTCTCTATCTGTATCTTTTCTCATTATCTCATATTCTCTCTCTAGGGAAATCCCTACCACCACCACCAATTTCCTTGCCTCCTTCCTACCCTCTCCTTTATTCCTTCCCTCTCTTCCCAGTTTTCTTTACAACCCAAGCTAGCCTTAAATTTGCCATGATCCTCCTATCTCATCCCCAAGTGCTGGCTAGCATATGACACTACATCAGCACAGCTGGCTGCCTAGTCATTTCTGCATGCTCTCAGATACTACAAATTGTGCTGTTCTGGGTGCTAACTTTTTTCTCCATTAACATTCAGAGCTTTGTTTTAGAATAAAGTAACTGAGATATTTACTGATCTACTCAAAATTTGTTTTTAGGGCTGGAGAGATGGCTTAGTGATTAAGAGCATTGTCTGCTCTTCCAGAGGTCCTGAGTTCAATTCCCAGCAACCACATGGTGGCTCACAACCATCTGTAATGAGGTCTGGTGCCCTCTTCTGGACTTCAGACATACACACAGACAGAATATTGGATACATAAAAAATAAATAAATAAATAAATATATTTTTTAAAAAATTTGTTTTTAGTATCACTTGTCTGGTCTAGATCAGCCACTAACCTAATGTGACCCCATTACTATGGGCTCTATCAAATGTCCTTTGTGCAGCCTTATGCAGAATAGTTAAGCACTTTACCACTTAGCTCTATCCAACCTTCTTTTTCCTTTTTATTCTAAGAAGAGCCTCCCTAAGTAACCCAAGCACCCACCAAGGTTAACGAGTTTTTTTTTACTTTCTATTCCCACTATTAACTTTTATCCTTAGAATAAACAAGTAAATACATTTACTCGTATCTGCATTTTTTACTTTATTTATTCTTTTTGGCTTTTTGACACAGGATCTCACTCTACAGACCAGAGTGACCTCAAACTAAACATACCACCTTGCCTCAGTCGTCCTGAGTCCTGGAACTACAGGTGTGAGCCAGTATCCCTCCCTACCTTTAATTTAGATGACTGGTAATATAGTATACATTTCTATCTTGTCTTTGTTTGTCTGTCTGTTTTGCTTTGTTTTTTGAGACAGGGTTTCTCTGTGGCTTTAGAGCCTGTCCTGGAACTTGCTCTGTAGACCAGGTTGGTCTCGAACTCACAGAGATCCACCTGTCTCTGCCTCCCGAGTGCTGGGATTAATGGCATGCACCACCACCACCCAGCCTTGCCATTTTATTTAGTAATATATCCTGACTATCATAGCATAGACATATACAAGAGGATCATTTCTTTTTATGGCCATGTACATGATATTAGTTTATAAAAAAATCATTGTATTTTAAGATCTTCTATCTATGCTAAAACTTAGAGGAATAAATTTTGAATGCTAAAATATCACTGACAACTGCTCTCTACTTACGCCATGCTGAAGGATGGTTTTGCATCCTGATCAGACAAAGAAGCAATGGTATGCTGAGGAAATCCTTTATAAATTAAAAAAAAATTAAAGTATTAATTTCTTTTTATGGACAAAGAACATAATTTTAGAACTATGAATCTAAAAACAGTCCTGCTAAAAAATCGAAAAAGTTGTATGAAAGCTCCTTCCTACCTCTCAGATATATATTCGCCTATCATACTATGATGAAACTCTAATTCAAAGGTATAAGAAAAGGTAGAAGAAAAGGAAATGATCTAGCTACACATATGACCTCACATTCCAAAATGTATATCTATATTTTAATTTACTAATACTGCATCTAAAAAGAAACAGTTCACACATTTTATATGGCCTCTAATTGAAATAAATATACATTACATGATACAGTTTCTCTTTAAGCACATATTTGTTTTAAATTTTTGAAATTTAAGGGAATAGATATGGAAGAAATTAGTGGAAGAATAGGATATAAATATCATCAAAATAAATTGTATTTTGTATATGTGCATGAAATTCTCAAAATATTAATAATTTTTTGAAATGCACAAACTTTTCATTTAATTTACTTTCCATATACAATTTAAAAATTTGAATACACACTTAGGAAAAGCAGAAACCAGAAAGATGAGAGAAAGAGAGAATATTACATAAAACTGAAAAATGGATCTACAAATAAAAACCAACTTAGTTAAGTATGTATGGCATGTATTTAGTATGTACAAGGCCTGAGGTTTAATCTCCAGCATCACAAAATAGTTAAACAAAAGAACAAAAAACAGCAAGGGTAGTGCAATATAACACACCAGTAGTTCCAGCTACTTAGGAGGCGAAGGCAGGAAGATTTCATGAACCCTGGAATTTGAGGCCAGTGTGAGCATCATAAAGAGATATTGTTTGCTAATTTTTGTTTTAAAGTAAGGTCAATTATTTGCATTAGAAGAGAAAGTATTTCAAATAAACTATAAGTTAAATAATAACTTTCAAATGGAGTAAAAAAAATCACTAAATTTAAAAGACTGGCAAACATATCACTGAAAAATATACTAAATATTTACATCATAAATTATTCTAGGAACTGGAGAGATGATTCAGCAGTTAAGAATACTGGCTGAGGCTTTTTCGTCAAGATGGCGCCTAAAGCGAAGAAGGAAGCTCCTGCCCCTCCCAAAGCCGAAGCTAAAGCGAAGGCCTTGAAAGCAAAGAAGGCAGTGCTGAAAGGCGTCCACAGCCACAAAAAGAAGAAGATCCGCACATCGCCCACTTTTCGGCGGCCCAAGACTCTGCGGCTACGAAGGCAGCCTAAATACCCCCGGAAGAGCGTGCCCAGGAGGAACAAGCTTGACCACTATGCCATCATCAAATTCCCCCTGACCACCGAGTCAGCCATGAGGAAGATAGAAGACAACAACACACTGGTGTTCATTGTGGACGTCAAGGCCAACAAGCACCAGATCAGACAGGCTGTGAAGAAACTCTACGACATTGATGTGGCCAAAGTCAACACCCTCATAAGGCCCGACGGAGAGATGAAGGCATATGTTCGGTTGGCTCCTGATTATGATGCGCTGGATGTTGTCAACAAAATTGGAATCATCTAAACTGAGCCCAGTCGGCTAATTCTAAATATCCACTTTTTCACCATAAAAAAAAAAAAAAAAAAAAAAAAAAGAATACTGGCTGAGGAACTGGGCTCAATTCCCAGCAATTCTGTAACTCCAGTTCCAGGGAATCTGGTACCCTCACACTGACACACATGCAGGCAAAATACCAATGCACATAAAAATAAAAATAAAAATTATTCTAGGGCTGAAGTGATGGCTCAGTGGTTAAGAGCACTCACTGCTATTCCAAAAGTCCCGAGTTCAATTCCCAGCACCTACATGGTAACTCACAACTACCATCTTCTGGTATCCAGAGGTACATGCAGATAAAGTACCCATATATTTAAATTAGCAAATCTAAAAGAAAATACACTTTACACAAAAAAAAATTCTAAATGCTTCATCTATATTAACTCAATCTCTCAATCTTTCCAACACACAGTTAAGTATATATTAACAAAGAGTTTACAAAAACAACAGAAGAAAGAAAAACCCACAGGAAAAAGAAGTTATTAGTATCACAAATAGCCAAAACAAAGGTAGAAAAGCATTTCATTTCACTGGTATTTTAAAAGGGCAAATTAAGGGGCTGGAAAGATGGTTAAGAGCATTGCCTGCTCTTCCAAAGGTCCTGAGTCAATTCCCAGCAACCACATGGTGGCTCACAACCATCTGTAATGGGGTTTGGTGCCCTCTTCTGGCCTGCAGGCATACACACAGACAGAATATTGTGTACATAATAAAATAAATAAGTATTTAAAAAAAACTTTAAAAAAATTTTTAAAAAAAGGCAAATTAAGCAAGGAGATTCTTTTTTAATGTTTAAAAAGATATATGTATACCTTCTAAAAACATCAATATAACGTGTTCATTATAAATTTTTTAGAAAATAAAAGCAAAAAATTTATATAAATGCCAGACATAGTGATGTACCCCTTTAATCCCAGCACATCGGAGGAAGAAGCAGGTAGATATCAATGAGTTTGAAGCAGGCCAGCCAGGGCTAGCTACATAGAGAAACCCTGTCTCCAAAAAGAGAAAAGAAAAGAAAAGAAAAGAAAAGAAAAGGAAAGAAAAGGAAAGAAAAGAAGAAAATAAAAAACATTAAATGATCATTTTTATGACCAATCATTTCCTATTTCCTGGGGGGAGGGAGACTCAATGAGTAATTGGTGTACTCATTGCAACTTTCGTCTTTGCCATTTGTATGACATACTTTAATTACATAATAAAGATTTTGTAGTTTATTTAAGAAATTTCTTACCACAAGTACTTTTCATTAAATAAACACTTTTGTACCTTCCCAGCTAAAAAAGAAGGCCAGAAGTGTTTTCGTATGACATGACTATAGGTAACTATCAATTCTCTTCATTTTATAAACACACTGCAGCATGCATTTAAGTAAGAAAAATCTTAAATGTTAAAATGATAACTTGCACAAATGAAAGCAGAATGCTTAGTTTGAACCAAAGACAGACACGTAAACCTACACAGAAGAAACACGTACCCATACGAATGAGTGAGCATTCAGAGCTTGAGCTGGCAGGAGGAGGGCTAACATGATGTGTTAACAACTCTTTGTAATGGGTTTCATCTAAAATAACATGGTATGTGCCTAACAAGCAAAAGCAAAACACAGCAGTTATAAAGACAAGAGCTTCTCTGTCAGTCTAAGAAAGTCTCATCATGTGAAAATATACATTTCATAACCATTTTAAGTAAATTATCATTTAAAAGTAATTTAAATAAATCTCTCAATCAAATTCTCTAGGCATAATAGTAACTAAAATTAAAGCCAAGCTACAGTCTTTACCAAATATTACATAAAGTGAGTTTACTAGTGTTTTGAAAGCTATAACCCTAAACACTGACCTACTGACAGTTCCTTGCATTTTAAGTGTTTGCTTAGTAAAATCAATATGCTTAAGATTATGAATATATTCTCAACTACAGACATAAAATGTTTCAGTTTAATAGTGCAGAACATCCTACTTAATTAATAAACTTTTTCTTACACAGTAACTATAATTATTAGAGAATGTAGATATATACCACCAGTTTCACGAGCAAGTACAGTGCAAACTCGAACCTCTGCAGACAATCCAATAACAGACACTCTGATTTTAGCTGCCTTCAGGGTCTTCATAAGATTCAGAAAGATAAAATATTGCATAAGAAAAAGAAAAATATTTATGAATAATAACTTTGAAAAATGGCGTTCTGAAAACTAGTGATAAATTTACTACAACATTTTCTTTAGAGTCTAGCTTCAGTTGTGGTCCTACCTTGATGAGATCATAAATATTAGACGGATCACAGGTTGTCAGGCTACTGAAGATGATTAGTACTTCTCTACTTGTATGTCCAGGCATATGTCTATAAAGAGAGGTAAAGATACATTACAATAGAGCAAACAAATTATACTAGCTAAAAATTCATCCAAAATGAGGAATACATATGGTTTATACATCTAAACTACAAAATGAGGTAATAAATGATAAAAAAAAAGTTAGAATCAATTCACGATTATTATTTGGTATTCAATTATAAATTTCACTGGGCAGTAGTGGCATACTCCTTTATTCCCAGCATTTGGAAGGCAGAGGCAGGTGGATCTCTGAGACCAAGGCCAACTTGGTCTACAGAGTGAGTTCTAGGACAGCTAGAGCTACACAAAGAAACCCTGTCTCAAAAAAACAAGAAAAAGAAATTTAAAAAAATCTAATTTCAATCTCTCTCTCTCTCAACAGAGTCTTACTATAGAGTTCAAACTCATAAGCCTCTGGCGTACTACAATTACTAGTATGCAATGCCATGCCTAGCCATTCAATTTATTCTTAATTAAAATTTTTTTTAAATTCTTGTACACTACTGTGAATTTCGTTGTATTTTTCTAAATCCATTGCAGATACATTTTAACTGATAAAATACAAGTTAAAAACAAGCAACATCAAAATAAACATCATACATGACATTTCAGATTTTTCCTGCTTAACTCTTGTTAAAACACACTTCATAAAACCCAATACAACTCACAGAAAAAAATTCTGAAACAATTATAAATAATAATATAAACTGGCTACGGTTGTGCATGCCTGTAATCTCAGCACTGGGGAGATGGAGACTGAAGAATCGGGAGTTCAGGTCATCCTCAGATACACAGCAAGCGGGAAGGCAGCCTGGGCAACATTGGAAAATACTATCTTGAGAAAAGAAGGAAGGGGGGCTGGAGAGATGGCTCAGAGGTTAAGAGCATTGCCTGCTCTTTCAAAGATCCTGAGTTCAATTCCCAGCAACCACATGGTGGCTCACAGCCATCTGTAATGGGCCTGGTGCCCTCTTCTGGCCTGCAGGCATACACACGGACAGAATACTGTATACATAATAAATGAAAGAATGGAAAGAAGGA